TCCCAAGACACAGAACTTCTCTTTTCCTTGAGATGTAGATTAAGCATTTTCTTTAATTAATCTCTTTCCAACACACAGATATTCCCTTCCAATCACCAACCTAGGAATTGTGGAACCCACCTATAACCTACAAGCCCCCACTTCTACATGTCCCGCCTTTTTGGGCCAGGCCTATGGAAAAATCTCTTCACTAAATGTTGTCTGTGAATCTCAAAAACAAATAAAAGGAACCCCTGTACATGATCACCCTGAGAAAGGCATGTTTGCCTCCTCTCCAGGCCTAGGTCACTCACATTTGGCTTGGAAATAAATTGGATTAATTATTAATTATTAATATTACAGTTGGTTATTTTTTCCATTGACAGGCCTGAACAGTAACCATTGAGGAGGGGGGCGGAGAAGAAAGGGAAAGGGGATCCCAATGGAAAGCAGTCACAGAAGCCAGATCAAGCAAGTTAGTAATTACTAAGGGCACTTTATAGTCCTTTGCCAAAACACAATGGGATCTTAATGGTCTTCATGGCTTTGGGCAAGGAGCTTATCACTAAGGAAGTTCTTGAGGTAGGAAGTTTGAGGTTATTTAGAAGAGACTGCAGGAATGTTAATCACTCTGTTTACACAAAGAGTTGAAGCAAGTTTCCAATATAGAGTTCACAATGGAGGTTCTCTTGCTTCAGGTTGAGAAGCCAGGGGATCCTATGGCAACCAGATCAGCTTCCAGCTCTACTACAGGATCTTGATGAGAGAGGAGTAAGCTCTCTGGTTAGGTAAATAGGGTGAGGAGTCCACAGAATGAAGGGTAGGAGACAAATGGAGTCAGTACAGTGAAGCCTTAAATAAAAATACATTCACAGCTCTCAGCAGAAATCAATTATTAGCTCTTGCTTCTTGCTTGGACAGAAATCTTGCAACCTGCTTGAGATAATGACAGCTGAAAGTAGTGTTGAAGGAAAAAAATAACCAACTGTAAAATTAATAATTAATACGGTTTATTTCCAAGCCAACTGTGAGTGACCTAGGCCTGGAGAAGAGGCATACATGCCTTTTCTCGGGGTGATCATGTACAGGTGTTCCTTTTATTTGTTTTGAGATTGACAGACAACATTTAGTGAAAAGATTTTCCATTGGTCTGGCCCAAAAAGATGGGACATATGGGGGGGTGGTCTTGTAGGTTATAGGTGGGTTCCACAATTCTTAGGTTGGTGATTGGAAGCGAAGATCTATGTCTTAGTTAAAGAAAGGCTTAATCTACATCTCAAGGAAAAGAGAAGTTCTGTGTCTTGGGACGAGATAAGCAAAAGAATATACTGTAATTGGTTGAAATATGCATCTCAAAGATACTATGCCAGGAACAGGAGGTAGGAAGAATCCTGTTACAGAAAATAAATGGTCTGTTAACAATTGTGGGCATGACTTCCCCATTCCCCTTTTGAAAAGATTTTGGAAAAATAGGAAAAGTAGTCAGACTTCTGTACACAGTAGCATTGTCCATATCTGCTACATTCCACATGAAAATTGTAGTCTCTCTAGGTCTGGAGAGCAGCAGAGGGAAGGACCTTGAACAATAAACTCTTATTCTATATTTCAAAAAAATGTATGAGCACTTTTGACTGGCTAGAAATAGACAAACGGGCTGTTGTCCTGAACACAATGTTCAACTCAAGGACAGTGATTAGTTTAAGACTCCTGGTGGCACAAAACTCTTGTGCTGGCATTGCTTTTTAAAAAGTAATTTTTTCTCCATCTCCTTAGATAAAATTATTTTTCACATTTTTTTATTTTTTATTTTTCTTGTCAGGGTCCATTATGTCACCCTGGGTATACCATTTGCTTAGCTGGAAGCTTTGACTGTTTACTAATAAACTTTGTTTACTATCCTCTCCCTTTTTCCACATTTATAATTCTTTGTGACCGTCAGACAAGAACCTGCCCAAGTGTTGTATCTGAACACCTAGCACTTCATATTGAAAGGTTTTGGTCGGCAGATTGCCGAATCCGTTATGGCAACAGCGACCCCAATCAGCCACAAAGTTGCTTCTTGATGTAAAACACAAGAGGCTTTATTGCTAGCATGCTAGGACTCCACTCTCAGTCATACAAGACACGATTAAGAGTGAAGCCCCGAACAAAGGGGCATTCAGGTTATATAGACACAAGCCATGGGGTGAGGGGAAGAAAGAATGAGGAAGCAAGATAAGGGGGCTTCTAGGGTAAGTTTATGGCATCCTTGAAGTTACTTGCTCAAGCAGGACAAAAATGTTTTCCTTTACAGTTGTAGCCATTTGGTCAGGTTTGTAGAGACATTTGATCTGGGTTTCTGGGGCTAGCAGAAGGGGGGAGTTTTAGAATACAAGGGTCTGGGCTTCCTGCAAGGTGCTAAGCTAACTTGCAAATGGCTCTGGGCTTCCTGCAAGGTGTTAACAAATTGCCCCAGGCTTCCACAACTTCAGCAGCATTAGCTTTAGTACAGAAGCAAAAGAGGCAAAGGTTAGACTTTATCTTTGTAAGGCAGGATAGTCTAATTCTATTCTTACATTCCCCCATTTTGCATTTTTTGGCAAAAAGTTTTAATCATAAAACTTATGTACCCATAAGAGTATCGGGATAAGTTTCTGACTGTTGTAGGGTTTGATATTGTTGTCGGAGCACGAGTACCTGGACTGCGCTTATTCGTTCTCGAATGAAAGGACTAAGCGGTTTAGAATGCAGGGCCCTAAGGTTAGGATGAGGAGGAGTATAATTAGGGGACCGAGCAAGGTAGAGACAAGGGTGGTGAGCCAGGGGGAGTGGTTAAACCAACTTTTGAACTAGCCCTGTTGGGTTTCTTGGTCCCGACGTCTATTGTCTAGTCTCTCCCGAAACTTAGCCATGGAATCTAGTACAACACCAGAATGATTGGTATAGAAACAACATTGTTTATTTTGGGCAGTACACAGTCTCCCCTCTTTTAAGAATAGAAGATTAAGTCCCCATCAGTTTTGCAAGATGACTTCGGACAGGGACATTAGGGAGTTTTGGAGTTTAGTTATAGAATTTTTATGGCCTGGAGATCTTTATGTATGGCCACCCGGAGGCTTTCTAGGTATTGAGGAGTTTGAATGAGTGCTGCTGCCCCTGTCCCGATGCCCGCGGTGACTCTAAGACCTAGTAACATTGCTAGAGTTAGAGAGACTGGTTCCCTCTTTTGTCTGATATGTGTATGGCTAAATTGGTTTTTAAAATGATCAGAGTCATAATATAGGACTCGAGGGAGGACCTGTACAAGTACACAGTAATCAGAGTTAGGGTTAAACACTGAAGAGGAGATGCAGGGTGTCAGACCAGTGTTACATGCCCACCAAATGCCAGGAGGGGGAATAAAGTAAGTATCAGCGGGATGAATGGTTGAGATAGTTTTATTACATAAATGTTGGCAGTTAGAGGGCACTTTGCTGAGGCAGGTGCCCTGTCCAGAGACCACTGCGAGGGTAAGCATAGAGTACCACCCGCAGGAGTGGGGGGGGGGAACGGTATAGTTTCCTAAGAAGGCTATCCCTTCGTAGTAAGGGGGGCTCGAGGCTAAGCATAGCCAACGGGACTTGGTAAGGCCAGGACTAGAGGAGTTGAGGGCAGAGAAGGCTCCCTGTACTAGATTGAAAAGTCATTGGCCCGTGCTTGGTGAGTTCTGGACCCCTTGAGGGGGCTGAGGGGTGTTGGTCAGGCGAGGCCAGGTTGGGAGTGGGCGCGGTGTTTGTGGGACTCCTTGTTTGACTAGGACAATATTAGGGTCTATTGGTTTGGCCGGCGGGGGTTGGATCCACAATTTAATGGTAAAAGCGAATCCCAGGTCATCACCTTTTACATATAGGCGAAACCCCCATATTCTGCCCTTTGTCCAGTCCCGGAGGGCCCTTCCTGGGGGGGTAACTGATATTTTTAAGGGGTTACACCAGTGGGATTTACAAAGACTGCCGGAGGTCTGAATAAATGAGACAGTGATGGCATCCCAAGAGGATGAAGGTTTCCAGTAAGCATCTCCTGTGGTTTCGCATCCCCAAGCTTTACAGAAGAATTGCTGTAGGCCCGCACATTCTCTATCCCTAGCCCATGACCTCCCATCTCTAGGACACACATAAAACTCGGTTGTCTACAATGCCACCCAGTTGTCAGGGAATTGGCAACCCGGTCGTGAGGGTGAGGGTAGGTTTAGGTCAGGGTGTATCCCAAATAGGGCATAAGCATGGTTAACTTTGGGATGCTGTTCTGTCTGTTTAGACCCCTGTAGAGTTTGGGTAGGGATATTCCAGTTATCTAATCCAGCAACAAGGGCACAGAAATCAGGGTATAAGGTAGACTACCATGTCCAGGTTACAATATCATGGATGCTACTCTGTATCTCATTAAGTTTATCAATCTGTGGAGTCTTTGTAGACAGAGTATTCCTATGGCAACTCTGTTTGTGGAGTGTCTTGGTGTCTTAAAGTGAATGAAGCCTCTGGTTCCCTCCTGCATTTCTTTGGCTTGTCTAGCACTCCTGGGTAAGTTACTTTTTTCTTTTAAAATTTTTGCTGTGGGGCACAAGTACTTGCCTCAGAGATACAAGGATGGGCAGGGTAGGTGAAGAGGAAGGAGAAATCACCCCCCCAGGGTGATGGGCATGCCAAAAATCCTTTTTCTGTTAAGATTTTTGCTATGGGGCACAAGTACTTGCTTCAGAGATACACGGATGGGCAGGGTAGGTGAGGAGGAAGGAGAAATCACCCCCCCAGGGTGATGGACATGCCAAAAATCCCTTCTCCATTTTCCTTTTGGGATTTTGGGTACACGTGAAATGCTCTGGATGTAATTTTTAAGCCACTGGATCTGGTAATCAAACTACAAAGTAGCATGTGGATCCAGCAGCCTTTGCTCAATGCCAGTGGCTGGCCCACTCCTGGGTAAATTTAAAAACTTTTAGGGTCCATCAGATGGTGTAGTGGTTATGATTTTGACCTCCCACTTGTCTGAAGGAAGTGGCAGGCTTTCCCTCAGTCCAAGTCATGGCAGCCTGGAAAA